CAAGGTAATTCAGACTCAGTTGTCCTCAAGAGAAAACTATCTTGTATAGTTTTGTACCGTTTGCAAAAATTATGAGACAATCTCTAATTAGCCAAACATAAGTTTGGTAGAGCATTCATAAATATTTCAGCGCCTCATAGTTAATTCAGTAATATTTTTTCTTTTTGATGAAGTACTTGTTACCAATGAATAATTACCTGTAAATCCACGTATTTAGATTGGTTTGGCTGCGTATTTTCCTGAAAAAAGCAAAGATAACGGCGTGTTTCACAGAAAAAAAAACAAAACAAAAACAATCTAAGCAGAGAAAAAGGGTGATAAGCACGAGAATCGATGAGAATGGAAACGCAATAATATAGGCACGGGCGGGCCACCCATCGTGGCTGTTGACATGCATGAACGAAACGAACTGTGGGAATCAAGAGAACCATGCGAGAGCTGTGAAAAAAACACTGAATAATGCAAATATTACACCTGATGCGTCATGTCTGGCTAAAAAACTCAAAAAAAGTTTCCTCCTTTTACACATAGACTCAACACCAACTCTCGTACTTTTATATTAAAATACAAACAAACAGACAAACATTCAGATGATGCGCATTAGTGGAATAAAGTTCACTATATTATACGATAACCGAAATGTTTAGACCAAGAACAGCGTATATAGATGTCATTCAGGGCTGTCTTCATAACCGTCAATTTTATTTCTCTTGATATCCACGGATTTCTTCACTTTTAAGAAACGCGTAGGGTGGCTCGCCTATGGCCTTCGAGCTAAGCGCGCTCTCTAAAGATTAACAACTCAAATCTCAAAACAATGCAAGGTTAATCTTTAAGAAGACACATAGGAGAACTTTTTTATTAATCGGATCAAATGAACCGAAGCCGTCACGTAATCGCCCAGTTCCTGCTTTAGCAAAGAACAGCCATCGCTCATCTACTCTGTTATGTAAGATGCAACAGAATTCTCGTGAAAGCGTTAGATTCACAAGGGGACATGTTGGATTGGTAAGTTGAAACCGCTCATAGATTCACTTAAAGTTTGGGCAAACGTGAAATTCTCCAGATTGTGTTATTTATCAAACTACAGCTGTCGATACATGGCGGTGTGCTGTTCTATAAAAAGCTTGGTGCGCGCATCACACGAACGATCTTGGCAAATGAATGACATTTTCCCCAATCATAGTTTTTTTTTCGATGCTTTTTACCTTCTCCTTGTTTACTTTCGCAATTATCGAATCATCAAGTGAGCATTGAAGCCATTTCGGTGGATTGCGCTCGAGATATCTGTATCATTTCCATCGAGTGAAACACGAGATGAAAACACGGTACGGCCGAATATTGATAGTGTCTTCGCTTATGGTTCACAGTATGCGAGTGTACAACTAAACATTCCGTCGAGTGCTTTGCATTCTTCGTTGACCGTTTGAAGACAACCCTGCGAGCCTCATCGCGATGTTTCTGAAAAGCAATGTAACCAAAGCGTATTATTTTGGCTTGCGAATACCCTTAAGATTGAATTTTCCGTAGTATTAACACGAGAGAGACGTAAATAAATAGACGACATTGCACTCACCTTTGGCCCTGAAATCATTGGTAGGCTTTTTTTCCTTGGGTCGCTTTTGCTGTTTGAGATACTCGACACGGTTTTCTCCAGTTTTAAATGTTTGAAATGAACGACAAGGAGTGATTCTTAGAATATGCAGACTATGATCATATGATCGATGGTTTTTTTTGGAAGGTTTCACCCGCAGAGTTCAGATAATAAGACTAAACATGTAGGCCAGCACACCTTGTTTATGATTTAAACTTTCACATAGGCGTTTGGATTCCATTTGCTTTTTTAGTGATTGAAGATAATGATAAAGCTTGTTTTTAAGTAGTAACACGAGATATTAATTCGTAAAACAACTTAACTGTTAAAATGAATTTAATCGTCGTTTGGTGTTGAATTTCTCCGCTGTCAATACATCTTGATCGTCATCGCCAACAGGGTGTAGACTAAAAATTCGAGTTTTGACCTTACCTCCACTAGCGTAAACTACGATCTTATTATTTACAGGAAAACTCGAGTATTTAACGCTTAACTTTAAAGCAAACTCTTTATGTCAGTTATCACGTAAATCTATTCAAAGGCAGAGCTGTAGATTATCAGGAAAATAACATAACTTCGGCGTGTCTTAAAATTGTTTACGACCAGTGGGTGAAATCTGGAGAATAAATGTCATTCAACGGCAAATCGTCTTAAAAATATTAAAAAAACTTATCCAAAAAAATTATCCATCGAAAGTGGTGTCAAATTTAGCTCCGCGAAAACGGCTTTAATACTCGATTGCGTGCTTCGGATCTGATTGTTTCATCAATTTTCTATTGTGCAGTATTGGTTTCACGTTCAAGTAGTCAGGGCTTTTTCATTTATATATCAGTTCACCTTATGAAAGATAGGAAATATTCTGCGCTAAAAAACAAACAAGTAAGACAAACATAGGTCTATGAAAAGGGGGCCAAACTGCACCAACGCAATATAGGAGCCATTTATTGCTATCTCTTCTTCCTGTTTGATTAGGTTTTAAAAGGAGAAGGGACGTCGTCAGTACGGTCTTTTGAAGAGAGAAGAAAGCGTGATCATTATAATGTTTTGACAACTATAGAAGCTTATCAAACCACTTATATTCGCTTTACCATATTTCATTTTGCGGCTGACGGAAATGGTTACAATTTTAATAGTTTCGAAATACAAACAAAAAGCATACTAACTCAGTAAAAAACCCAATTTTAGCGTGGTCGCATCATTACTTAAAGTAATTAGGCTCTTGGTGACAATAGAAGCCTTCTCTCTTTTGAGGAAGAAAGGATAAATTTATCACGGAATAATGTGAAGATACGTCAAGTGATTCAAACAGAACGTCAACAATCTTGGCATGATTCCGGAGGTTAGAGTGCAAAATATGTTTTTGTACCACCGACGCCACAAAACCATAACCTAAACATTCTTGACTGCTTCTTTCGTAGTTTGCTTGCCAACTGAGGAACAAATATCTAATCTTGTGGCTTTTTGGGCGTATATGTATACGAGAGTAAATTCTTAATATGCTGCGACGGAAAAGGCACGTTTTGCACTGTAAGGCGGGCTGAAGCTTTCTGCGTAGGAACAAAGAAAAGCTTTTAGAAAAAGAATGGCATCTATCCTGAATCTACGATAGTCAGCTTCCTGAGGTAAATTATTTCGCATCGAAGTGATTTCTATTGATATTTCTAGACAGATAATCTATTACATGTTAGTTGTTCCGTATCTCGTGGACATTGGCAAGCATTACAATATCCTGAATATCCGGTATTACTATATGTAGTTCGCTCTTGTGACAACTCGAGGCAGCTTAAATTTATCTCATTAAGAAAGTGTCTTTTGACTTAAAATCGAAAGTTTGTATTTTTACTATAATTGAAGCGATACTTAATTTGTGACGGACAGATTCTCGGTGGTATCTTTAGTTGCATTTCCTGTCACGCTTTTGCTTATTCCTAAACATCTCAATTTGCTCTCAGCTTTCAATATTATTCGTTGGGGTCCTTCGCGGAGGTTTTTTTTTTTCGAAAGGAGCTTTTGTTCCTGACGTTGTGTCTTCACCAAGCGATATGTGGCAGTTTAAATTCTAAAAATTCTTTAGAGAAATTGAACTTTGCTTCCTGTTATCCTGTTGCTGTCACGTATCCCTCTCGCAGCTTCTCTTTAAGGTAAAAAGAATCTCCAAAACAATCATTACCCGATGAAACATACATAACTGTTGTCATAATTCATAACAGTTCTAAGTTCAGCCGTAAATTATGAATATTAGAGTTGGCCTCGATAATCTTATTTATAGGTCTCTGGCTAATAAATTCAGTTCCAAAGAGACCCTTGATTAAACATGGCTTTAAAGCATGTCGAGCTGCCGTTACCTTTGCATACCCCGAAAAGGAGAAGGAAACTAACAATGTACTAGAGAAAGCAACGGAAATCGAGCGTAAAGCTCAGAGGAACGTTTATTTCCGTTTCAATTTAACTACCAGTTTGTCATAATTGTATTTCTTAGTGACAATACTTCGTTGCTGCGGAAGCTACAAATATAATGCCATGACGAAAATAGAAAAATATGGGAAGAATAATCCAAATTGGATCGAGGATGGTCCAGAACGGATGAGATCGCCGAGAAATGCAAATTCCAACTTGTAAAACGCAAGCAAACACTAACAACTTTTGAGTTCTTAAAATTTGAAGACGTATTCAATTTGACGGATGCTAGTAACCCAAGCGCACAATACTCCTGCAATGGACGGTGATGATGCATTTGTAAAGGAGTGTCAATGAGTAACATTTCAAATGTTACTTCGTGACCCTTGCAACAAAATTGCCCGCCTGTAGTGTCATTCATGACGGATGCTAGTAACCCAAGCGCACAATACTCCTGCAATGGACGGTGATGATGCATTTGTAAAGGAGTGTCAATGAGTAACATTTCAAATGTTACTTCGTGACCCTTGCAACAAAATTGCCCGTCTGTAGTGTCATTCATGACGTGAACTTGGGCGGAAATTGTTTTATGCAAAAAGAATAGATGGCGTGATGACCTAATGGCTTACACGCTGGACTGCAGTTTGGCAGATTCGGGTACAAGCCTTTTTCAGGTTGTTGTATTGGGCTTTTCGGCAAAAAAAATTTACTCTCGAAATAGGGAAGATGATTTGGGATCAGTCGTAACCGATGATGAACAAGCATTTCATTTAAAAAAACCACTTTTGCTTCCAGTTGCGTCATGCACACTCCTCGTATTGCGTTAGTTTCAGGAGCTTTAAGATTGGGTCTCATCTATAACGATTAAGAACTTAAGAAAAGGCGTCATTCCAACGAACTTTATTAAACATTCGTGGCTAAGAAATACGATAAGGAAAAAAAGAAATTCCAAGAAATCAAAACACTTATCGACAATTTCGTATTTTTCTTTCATTAGTGACTCATTGCCATGATGGTTAACGATTCCAACGGCCATGTGAATAACCAGAGCCGGGCAAGAGAGGCATTCTTCACACACACGGAGGTGATAGGATGGTGTTTTGCGTTTGGTATTGTCGATATGCTCATTGTGATGAGCAATACCCTCGCTATAGTCGTATTCACGCGGAGCAAGTTGCTACGGAAACGCACAAACTACTTTTTGCTGTGTCTGGCGATTGCAGATATGATGGTTGGTACAATATCATTACCGATATTTGTACATACTCTCGTTCTTTACACAAGAGGTGAAGAATTGGAAAGCGCGTGGATCAACGTACTTCATAGATTATTGGACATTTTTTCAGGATTTGCTTCAATCTTTGCACTAACAACTATTGCATTGGAACGTTTGTACTCAGTGGTTCTACCAAACTGGCATCGAACTACACCAAGTTGTCTGTATTTTATCTTGATAAGCATGATCTGGATTCTGGCGGGCGTGCATGTGTGTGTAAAAGTGCTCGTGAACGAGAAGATGATCTCAAGCAACATATTCTTGTACCTTATGCTTGTATCTTTCTTCATTTGCGTGGTGGTGATTTGTTTGGCTTATATCGGCATTTGGTTCAAGGTTAACCAGAGGATACACGAGAAAACGAAGAAATCGTTGGAAAAAGACAAGAAACTAGCAACAACACTTTTTCTTGTGTCAGCTATTTTCATTTTGACTTGGTTCCCATTCCAAGGCATCAACATCTTCATTCCAACGTTGTGTGAAAATGGATGCACTTTATCCATTCTGACTCTCGTTTTCCTCACTAAATTGATGCAATATATGAACTCGTTCATCAATCCTATTATCTACACCTTCAAGATGCCTGACTTCAGGCGAGGTCTTCTAGCTTTATTTGGAAAGAAAGTTTTATATGGGGCATCGACCCGAGCTACTTCGAGGATGTTATCTGAGCGACGCCGAAGAGCAAGCACGTTACGATCTAGTGAAACAGAGGCAAACGGCAACTGTGAGTGTGCGCTGTAACATTGTAGTGTGATCTTGAAAGACTGTTCTATAGGAGCAGTATCGTTTCAGTTACTATCCTGAGGGATGAAATGTAATGATTTGTATCTTAAAGGATTACTATCCAAGACTTCGCCAGGGCACGCGGGCGATACCATTGTGTCGAGATCTTTGTACATGCGCACAACTGGGCTATCCCAAAGTCTCCACAATCTATATAATCAATCTTCCACAGGGATCATCGCTTAAAACCGAGGCCTTACAATGTTTGAAATCTTTTTGTAGTCTCTTTTTAATTTGCGGGTTTGACAACTTTGATGAGGTTTGCCTTACTCTCGAGCTGAGGTAGAGACAGTGGTGTTCCGTTCAAAGCGGACACTGTACACTATGCATTTCTAAAAAAAAAAAAAGAAGCAGTGGAATAAGTTCGCTAATTCCAATGCCGACTTTTTCGTTCATATGTCTTGCTTTTTTTGACTTTACTTTTTGTTGAAGAAAGAAACCTCGAGGTAGAATTACAGCCTTTATATTCAAGAAACTTTTCTTCCAAAAGGCGTGGATTTTGATTGGTTCTTCATTTACAAAAGATGTCCAAAAAATTTATCGAGTAGCATAATACAACATTCTTCATTCTTGAAGGCACGTTTTTGTGTGGACGCTTACCGGCATTTCGGTTTCGTACAAGAATTTTCTGCCTCAAATTACCCTGAATAGTTCCTTTGGGTCTTTAGCAAGAAGGTGTGCAAACTAAAGTAAATGTTTGGTCTTTCGCTACCAAGAAATGAATGTGAGGCAAGCGTTCCTTCAATTTACATGTACTTTCAGCAACTCCAAATCAAAGACGTCTTTTCCTAAGTTTTATGTCTATCCTCTACGGTATTTTGTCCTTGTGGACGTACTCAGTTAATGAAAATAATTTGCACTTATTATACAATATGGAATTTGTTTACATTTAAAACAAAGGTACAACTGCACTATAATAGTTCAAGGAGGTTCCACTCTAGGAGTGAATTGATTAGGTTATTTTTTTGGAACAAAACTGACCTTTCTTTCATTAGTCAGGTGTAGAATCTCGTCCTTTGAAATCTAACGGATTAATTTGTAAGACTTGGTCGAGTCCACGGTTTATGCTGGCGAGAATAGAGATTCAGGGAGAGATTAGAATTAATACTTCTTTTATCCTTTTCACCCTGACATCAGTATGCATATCCTCCATTCTGGTCACTATACACTTCCTAAGGTGCTGACAAGGAGAATTTGTTTATCAATCAAGAGCTATTCTAGTTGGAGATCATTTCCTTTATTCTCGTGACCTCAGTATATGATTCAGAAGTATTATAGCGAGGAGAATTTAGATGCTAGTCACTCTTAGGGGTCAAAGGCTAAATGTACACGGGAAGTTAGATGGTTGGCCTCGCTAAGTGAAATCAAAATATACATGGCTTAATGTACATAGCCGTAGCAATGTAGCTAAAATATCATTCTAACACATGTTAGTGCTGAGAATTTGTCTACTCTCCAAGTTTTAGACCGAGGAGGAAAAAGACATAAGCAATTTTTGGTTGCAAAGCTTTAAAATTTATATGTTTAATGATATTTTTGGAGTAATTAATTTGTCATCATAAATTTCACCGCTCAGCTGTTTTGGTCAAGGGGAGGATCAGCATACTGTTTCCTCTATCTTCGAAATAAGTTTGAAACATGAGTGTCAAGGTATGCTTCGATTTTTTTAAATGTATTAGAATTGAATTATAGTATATACGATTTTAACTTTGTAAATTTATTGAATTCGACAACGTAACGGTAATAATGAAGTGCAATGGTACTGTTATGATGAAATATTACTTTGACTTATCTGAATTAAAAATAAGATTACAATGTACGTAGGTGATGTTTCCTTTTTTTAAAATGATATTGATTATGCATATTATAGTTCCATAGCCTAGTTTTTTTTCTCTAATGCGTCCTTTAATTCGTCCAACGGGCTAAGAAAATGCATGTTGGCATGACCTGGATTTTTTCGCCAATCGCTGTCCTTCCATAATTACACCTTTAAGTCCCAGAGGTGATTAACTTGTAACTTCTCCCCACAGTATCTATACATTATCCAGCAAACAGGTAGTGAGATTACGCAAACTTATCTTGATTGAACGCCAAATTCTCGTAATCAATTTATAAGAAAATGTGTCGCAGCTGGAGGAGAGCATTAATAATCAAATCTTGATAATTAAAGGGTCAAATGATAAGCTGAATTCATAAGTTTTTTGATTGATTCTTACTAATGAAATATCAGAGGGCAGACACAATGGACGTCCTTATCAACTTCTCGTGTTTCTTTGTTATATAAATCAAAAATAGATTTAATGTTGCCGTGTGTCTGTTCATTGTTAGATCACTACTCTGACGTACGTGGTGCTTTCGAGCATCTGTGCGCCTCATATGCTGCCTTTTTTCCTAAACATGTGCCAGGCGACGTGGAATCTTTTGCTAACTACGACACTAATTTCAAGGTCGCCCCTTCACTTACGGCCACCTCTCTACAACTGCCACTTCCTGGTCTAACGTTTCGATTCGACTCAAGTTAACGGTACAAGATTCAACAGAATACCATCGTTTACATGATATTTTTCACAGTTTATCTACGAGTTCACCATAGTATCACTTTGATTTCCTTTTTCCGTCATTATCGGTGAAATGTGAAGTTGATACCTGGCAAAAGGCCAGTCAGAGGTATCTCCCAAAAGAGAAAGATGATCTCAACTCTACTACTCAGCACGTTGCTCCTTAACCATAATGACAGAAGTTTAGTCGAATGGCTCGAGAACTGCGTTGTACGATAAAATAATTAGTACAACTTTTTCGCCATTGCAGCCAATTTTTTCTCTTCCTGATGAAAAGCAAAGTCAGTGTGTGATTTACAACCTTAACAATCTGACCACCGGATCAGAACTTCATGAACTTCATGGCCTACCTGGTGCAGGTGTTACATGGTGTCTTGTTGAAGAGATTTCTTAAGTCATTAAGCAACTGTAATTTTATAAAAGTAGGCTTGCAAAAATATTGTGCAATTTGCCTGAGTTTTTATAACACACTTCGAAAGCACGCTTAGAGTATTAGTATATTCTAGGTACGTAAGGGCTCGTAAGGTAATTGGGCTCGTGCAATGCCGAGATTTGCTGTTATTGAATCAAAAATCACTCCCCTATTAGCCTAAGCATCTAAAAATTCCACTGGAACGAAGAATGATTGGCTGGAGATGGGGAAAGAAAACATGCCTCCAACCTTGAAAGGTTCGGCGGCTGGTTTCCAGTTCCGGTTTTGTCTAAATGAAAAAAACCTTTAGTGGTTCTAGACTGTGGTTGATTTACTTCGAATCCAGCCGTCACTAACGGAAGTCGTTTACAGATTGTCTCGATGATACATCACTCACGCTGATTTTTCTTAATTCAAAGCTGCGCTTTGGTTAAAATCATCCACTTACATCAATTGTTTTTCTCCAAAAATTTCACTCTTGATCGCTCTCTGTTGAAATCCCAGCTGGAATATACCATTACCTCAGATATCTCAGAAATTATGAATTCAGAAGATTGCAGGATATAAAAATTTTCGGTGTGCAAGCTTCTAAGGGTTAAGTCAACTTTGAAATTTTTAAATCCAGGGTAATATATTCTTACCAGAAAACAAAAAACTCTAAATGAAACAAAATAATTTGTGCCGTGCTGAATGGTAAAAGAGAGAATGTTCTAGAAGGAATTATGGTGTACGCTCCATGCCTTCCGAACTCTCAGATTTGACTGAAGTTAAGAACGCATATTATAATCTAGGTTTTCGAAATATTAAACACAAACCAGCGAAGAAATAGGAAAACCCTGCCAAAATTTTCGGTACGGTGTACGTAAAAACAGTAATAATTAACTGTAAACAAAACTACATAAAGACAGCGAAAAATTCCGTTGAAAAATTAGACCGGTTTTCAATAATAATTGTAAGTCAGATCTGATTACATTCAGGTGACCAACCAAAACTGCTTGAGATACTTAAGACAAAGGATTGTATAAATACCGTGGGGTTGAAAACAAAAGTCGAAGCTTGGTCACAGTGTATGCAAATAAACATCGCCAGCGTCAATGTAAATTAGCAAGACTACTTAATCCTTGAAGTTCATCATTTGGCGATGCTCCAGCGTGACACTAGAAGCAGCAAGGAAGCTTGAACTCTTCGAAGGATCGAGAAAAAGAAAACAGGAAACACTACACTGGAAAGCGAATCTAATCGACCAAAATTCAAGTACGTGCTATATCACTAGATATTTCCAACTTATTGAATGATTTATAGGGGTCTAGAATGGGAACTCAAACTCGCCAAGAAACCGAGACACTCAAAGTAGTAATTTTGCACGCAAGATCGATTAACAAATCTTGAAACATTCAGAGTTTCCCGAGACCGATTCTGAGAATTTAAAACCTTTGGATTAAAGGATATGAAGTGCAGTTCTCACGAATTCACGGGGAAAAGTACCGTGAGCATAGGCTTCTAATACAGTCAATACAACCGAAAGATATTTCGAATACCGTGGAGAAAAGTAAATAGTTGTGAATGATCGTTCGATTTATGGTATTCAAAACTCCACATCCATCGACAGATTTGCAATTTTGATTTTTTTTTCGGTTTTTCAATGTGAGCAAGAAACTTTGGTAGATCATATATCTGGTATTATAAGCAACTTTTCTCGAGTATTCCATATTTACTCTAGTACGTTTTTGTGACCTGAGAGCAAACGAAAATGATTACCTGCCTAATTAATTCTTTATTATATTGGCTTTACAGAATTAAAATTGTTTGGGTCAAATCCCAATTATGATCCATAAAAATTTAATTGTTCGATACAGCGAGGGGGATTCAAGCCAGACTAGTTTTATCTGATTTCTTGATGATCTTAGCAATAAGCTTTCAGGTGCATGGACATAAGAGTATTTGCTTCTCAAAAACTATACGCCAGACTCATTTTAATTCAACCAATCAATCTAACCTATGCACACAATAAATTTTTTATCAGCGTCTTGAAAAGATTTTTGAAAAGCGTTGAATCCTGCTGTTGTCTTCTGCCAGTGATCAATGAATTTTCAAAAAGGAATCCCGTCAGGTGCCAATCTTAATGTGAAAGGAGTTGAAAGCGCTATTTACTTCAAAAAAAAGTACGATATATACATATTTGTATTCTAACAGTCACTACTCAAGACAGAAAATTTAACTTTTGGAATCATCTTGATTTCATGGTCTAAAATTCAATTAAGCGTCTAAGTTCACCCTCCAATGAAAATACCCAAAGCCACTATGCATCACAATGAGAGCTATACAGCTGTAAGTGTGATCTTGAATTATGCACTTTCACATAAATCATGGCCTGTATGATGCTCTTTGGACGTTCAATTAGTAAAGTTTTACATTATTTTCGAGACTATGACATTCAATTGCGCTAGTTGAGGGGAAATAATTTTTCATTTTGTTTATTATTAGGACAGGAAGTTTTCTATGTTTTTTAATTAAGCTTGCTTCAAAACAATTTTTTTCGTCAAGCTTACTTGCAATCTTTTAGAGTCTCTTTTGAAATATTTATTAGCAAAAATAATAAAATGACATCTCGGCATGGTTCTCCTTTCATCTTTCAACTTTTCTCGCGAATGTTCCACATAAGAAATTCATTGCAATAAGGTTTGTTTTTAATGATCAAACACTCCCTTACAATTTTATTTGATACTTATATTTGCATCTGACAGGCTGAAATTGATGTTGTTGGTTTTCAAGTGTTAAAGGAAGTCACAAACCATTTCTGACTGGGCTCATCGAGCTTCTGACAATTTTCCTTTCAAATAATCCAGAAAAAGGTAATAGCAATTAATTTTCAAGAGAATCGGTCATTCATTTCTTTTCCTCGATATCTTTATTTGGAGAATAGAGCCAGAAAATATTCGCAAAAAATAAAACAAAATCATGCTTCTCGCTGAGGAAAAACCTTTAGCAACACAACTTAATCCATACTGCTCATTCCGAATTCGACCAGCATCTAAGAAAAAAAAGGACATTTGTTTATCCATGTTAGTCAACTGCTGTTGAATCGTTTTCTTCCATTGAGTCATCTACTGACTTATGAGCAGCTACAATTATTTATCGATCATTTATCCATTTATTCAGTTGTTGGGCTATCAATCCATCTACTCCTTATCACTTCCTCCGTTCATTGATCGTCCGTTTACTCGTTTCATGCTAAGGGAACCTAACCTGGAAATGGTAGAAAGTTTTCAAGAGAGATTGTTGCTGCAAAAACTATTAGCATTTTTAAAGTTGAACCGATTAGAGTCAAAAGAGAACGCCTCTGGTGTAATTTAAATAGTTCGTGTTTATTCAGGCAGTTCATTGGATATATGATAAATACTTCAATCTTGCTCATCTTTTCGTCCCCTAGGGTTGAATATGGTCAAGAAGGTGATTGCGGACTCGAATGACCTCAAAAGTCGACCTCTTAAAAGTTAATTTATTCTTTACTGTGTTTCTATCGTTTCAGTATGAACGTCACACGAGTCACACCAAATTTGCGATCTGTCAATAGCACCTTTAACCAGGATCCAGGCATGGAAACATACCAGCTGATAATCCTAGTGGTGTGTTATTCCATTGTGTGTCTCGCCATTTTGACCGTTAACTACCTCATGGTGCGAGCCTTTATTACAAATCAATCGCTACTATACCATCAGAGATACTTCCTGGGCTACCTCGCCTGCGCTGATCTTGTGGTGGGACTGGCATCGATACCAACCTTCTTGTACAACATGACTAACTGGCCAAGTTACAGCTTTTACATCTATGAAGCATCTGACTGTGCCTCTGGGTTTGGCTCAGCCGGCATTCTCGTGGCTCTATCAGTACAAGCATTACGTTCAACATTCAGGTCCCCGACTCGGTACGCAGGTTATCCTAAAAAGCGCAATTTTTATCTCGTCATCGCGGGCTCGACGTTTATTGCTGGTGGTGCTGTGGCCTTTAATGTTGCATGTCTAATGGATTACGTTTCATTCTTCGTTTACTTCTACCTAGCAGTTGGTTTACTCGCTATAACCGCCCTCTTCCTTATCTTCACGTGCACAGTGGTAATAGTTTCTCAGCTGTATGGCAAAGTGCGTGAAACTGATCGCGACGAAGACAAAAAAAATGTAAAATCAGTGATAGCATCATGTGCTGTTTATGTAGTTTTATGGGCCTTACCTTATACAGGTTTTACATATTATAAATTTTGTAACTTTTGTGTCCCTGTTTCCATAATGTTTCTGTACAGTGTTAGAATCGTTTTGTATCTGAAATCAATTTTAATGCTCGGATTTTATTTCTATACCATCAGTTCACTTCATAGAACTGTGAAGAAAATCCTTACTTATGACTGTCTTGGAATACCGAGATATCGCTACACCAGAAAAAATTAATTGTAACTGATCTTTTACAATGTCTCAAACGCGTTTTACTGAAACGCTAGCGTTTTCGAACAGGTCTCGAGGCGAATGTGCTCAGCAGCATCAGCATATAGCGATAAGCAAGTATTGAGACTGATATATTAATTGGTTATAATTCACGTTTGTAACAAGATCACAGGCACGAAAAACCTGTGAGGACTTTGCAATGTTGAGGTTTCCTTATATCCCCTTTTTTAATATAAGTAAGTGCTTCAGCACAGCATGTCTAATAGAAACATTCAAAAGAGCTGAGTGTGCGCCCTTAAAAAAAAGCAACAATATAACCAATCATAACACATTTTTGAACACTAAAAATGATCTTATCTGCCTCGGTCAGAAGACAGTTTTCAATCGTAAAACTAAACTTTACTTGAGCCAAACTTTTGGCTTGACTGCAGAGTGAGTCTTGCAAATATAATTCTTCTCGATTCTTCAATTCAAACGTAAGCTTTTGACATGTCTGATGGATGCTTAATTTTACCAATAAATGTGGCCGAATAACGGTTCATAACGATGTTCACTTATCAAAGGATAATTGAAAAAAAGGTACAGCTTGCGGTTTAAGTTGCTGAGCCCGAACTTGCGTCGGCGTTGCTTCCCATCAATCAGAGCTAAGATCAAGAAGAGCAAAGTTTTCACCTCCTAACCCGACCAAATTTTAAGCTTTGTAATTGCCCTGTGAGGCTGGCGTCGTTTAAGTGGTGACCTGGACTCGCCACAAGAACTGTTTAACCAACTTCTTTACTACCTTTTTAATTCCGCAGTCGTTCTTCAAGATGTCCCGCTGTTTTTTGAAGCACTGGCATATTTGTTTCCTCGACAAATTGATTTCATACTCTCAACGGCGCCTTTTTTCAAACTCATCTCAGCAAAATTTATGAATTTTAATGATTGCTCAAGAACAGCTGAAATTAAAAATCATTCATAGATAATCAGTGAAATTGCTGGTCTTTGTTCCCTCATTTAAAACATTTTTAGTGTATATTTCTAAATCTTGCTTCTTTTGGGGTTCAAAAATAAAATATGAAGGACAAAAACAATATTGGTTCAAATTCAGTTTTTGATCATTTTTTCATACTTCGAACAGTTGAGATGTCCGATTTGATTTTGAAATCATGGCGAAACACTAAATTGTTCTGAAAAGCAATATAGCTATAGCTGTATTCTTGTGCGAAATGATCAGTGCTTTTCATTTAAACGGTGTTTAACTTCGTGTTGTGAAATTAAGCGGGGTTTGGCTAAACTCACTAACTCTCTTCTCTCTCCCTCCCCTCCCTCCCCCCCTCCCACAAAAAGTTAGACTTTGAAATGTTTAGAGTGAATCTGCAGTTCAGAATATAATAACAATCGTTTACGTAAATCACTCCTCTTTTACACTTTGCCACCAACCAAAAGATTAGAATCTCTTGCTCCAATATAATTATCACTGACCTTAATGGAAATCAAGCCTGTTCTGCTTAGTCTTAGAGAGGTTGTTTACTACATTTTGATCTGTCAGAGGAATACAAACTAAACAAGGTTTGCCGCACATTTCTTACCTTTAATATCAAGTAAAAATTAATTTTATGTGGTCATTAAATAAACAGTTCGGGATTGAAATCATGGATTGAACTTATCGACTTAGAACGATTAGCGAAAAGTTGTATGACCTTAAAGTAAATTATGACTTCAAAGTGGATACCTCGTGATCAATGTGAAAACTTTTGAAAAATACGGTTTTAGTTCAGGGTAGAAAACTTTCGGTCATCACATGAATCGTGTTGTTTAGGGTAATGCTTAAGATCATATTCGTATTTTCTCATGTCTGTATGATAAGCGAAAAAAAGTAAGGTTCGCTTTAATTAAATGGGAGCTGAGGAATTAAACAAATCAAAATTTCCAAGGACTAAGGCTTGGAAGGGCTAAGGGCTAAGACTAAGAATGTTTTTTGAAAACGCAACTTTATTGTTGCGGATTGGCCTTCCATGCGCACGTATCCGGTGAATAAGGTTGAAAAATCCGCAAATTTTTTAACGCTTTCCGGCGTGGATTTTGTTTTGAATACGCATTATTAACAGCGTCGTGTGCACTAAAACGATTCGAAAACTTTACTAGGGGACGTCAATGTATTGAAATAAGCATCGTAAAAATTGCGGTTTCAAAAATATCCATATACGTATGGACAGGGCCTTAATTGCAGTGACTATCTTTGCCATAGAATTACAACGTATTGAATGGTAGAAGAATGGGAAATAAATTGGTACTTTGTTGAATGGTACTCAGAAGTTTTAAAACCCTTCGAAAATGGTTGTTAATTTCCCTCTTTTTTAACTCTTTGTCCGCTTTAACAACCTTTCATTAGGGCATTTTTTCATTTCGAGAAAACGATGCGAAATGAAGAGATGTCAATTTTTTAAATAGGGTGATAAGCTGGGGAAATTATCAAAAAACCCTTTGTTTGAATGATTTCATGATATTTGCAGCAAACATCGTTTCAATATACATACTTAAAAAAAAAACCAAGACAAGGTTTTATCTTTTGTGACAGAAATCCAATAGAATCATGGATTACTACCGAGCTGCAGAGATTTTTGGATTGGGATCATCTATTTGGAAGTTTTGGGGTACAGTTTCCGCTACAATGAGTTTCATTGTCGTGCTAGTTAACACCTTGTTGCTGCATACTTTCATTAAGAATCCGTTGCTCAGGAATCGGAAACACATGATGGTTGTCAATCTTGCTGTTGCTGATCTTATTTATGGACTCCTGGGAGTACCATCACTCATCTTCTCCATATTCAATCCAACGCCTATCTCTATTATTGTGTCAAGTGGACTGATCAAGTTTACGAAATCCGCTTGTCTGTTTACTCTTAGTGTGATTGCAGTGGAGAGGATGCATTCAGTGGTTTGGCCGATACGTCACAAACTGATGAATAGCAAAGCTTACAAAGTAGCTGTTCTGGCAATCTGGATCTTTTCTATGGGCAACACCACTCTTTATATTTATCGGCGAGATAAGGTCTCCAAGTTTTCTCCTTTTTTGCAGCCAGCTGTGCTGTTTGTGGTAGTTATAATTACATCTACTTGTTATTTACGCATTTGGATAACTCTTCGACGCAGAGGACAGTGCAGAATCGGCACTGCAGCCAGACAAGACAGATCATTGGCCCTAACTCTATTGCTGGTCACGGGAGTTTTCTTGGTCACGTGGGGAATTCCCATGACCTGTGAGCCAATCTTCCTGTTGTGCAAAAGTTGTGACCACTTTTCTGGTTGGTATTTCATGTGTGCAACGCTCCTACTTACGGTACAATCTTTGGTGAACCCAATAATTTATTGCTTTCGAATGCCTTTGTTTAAAATGGGCCTGAAAACGAGGTTGCAAGAAATAAAATCTTTCCTACATATCAAACCAAGAAGATCGATAAGATCCAGAAAAGTGGTAGCTGGAACAAAACTGCCTGAAAATTCCTCGGTAATTGAAGTAAGTGCGAGCAATGAGCCCCTCGGTTGACTGAAGATAGTGTCGACCAACTAATGACCGGATTTCTGTTCCTTGGTGCTTTTGAGATGCAGTGGAAATGTGGTGGGAGGTTACTTGTTAAACAGCTGAAACGGCCCTCTATCCCTAAGGGCTTCGAATTCACCATTCCTGGTTCAGATTGTTTTCTGCACTTGGCGCGGTACTTTTAGAAAGAGGAATACTCTTGTTGCTTTTGCACTTCGCGCGGGGCTTTTAAAACTAGAAATACACTTGATGTTTATGCACTTGGCTCAGTACTTTTGGAAAGAGGAATACTATTGTTGTTTTTGCACTTAACGCGATGCTTTTAGAACGAGGAATACACTTGATGCTTATGCCCTTGGCGCGGTACTTGTAGAAATAGGAATACTCTTGTTGCTTTTACACTTCGCGCGGGGCTTTTAGAACGAGGAATACAATTAATGTTTACGCACTTGGCGCGGTACTTTTAGAAAGAGGAATACTTCTGTTGCTTTTGCACTTCGCATAGGGCTTTTAGAACGAGGAATACACTTGATGTTTGCGCACTTGGAATAAGAGCTTGAAAGAAGTGTTCACGTGGGTTGCGACATCATCCAACAAAATTGCAGGCATCGTCAACAAAAAAAATATGTCATACCTCGAAGGTCTGATTTTAAGCAGAGTAAGCCGAAAAATTACATTTTTGATACCAGAATCATAGTGGTCTTAAATTCTTGGGTTGCATCCAACCAGGTAAACGAGAGCAAGACTGGACAATCCGGATCCATCGACTCCGCAATTGCTAATTGATTCTGTAGACCCGACGCATCTTTATTGCGTCGTTTGAACGCAAAAAGATTGATAAGTCTCTCTCGAAATTCCGGCATTCGGAGACAGTATACGATCGGGTTTACATAAGAATTTGCCAATCGACAAAATTGACCTGCAAGGTAGACTTCTCCTTCTACATCATGTGTTGTGAAGCGCATCACATTTGCAATTCCATGCGGAGTCCACGTGATCAGCGACAATAATGTAACTATGAAAAGAGTTTTGGTCAGTTTATTATGGTTCTGTTCCCGATTTAATTCGACCCTTGGAACTCTCTTTTTAGAATAAATGAATATTGTAAGATATGCCGCTGTAATGATTATCAAGCATGTTGCCGTGTACGTTGATATTACGATAGGTTGAAGTAAGATATAAACTGCAAAGTACGAAAAAATGGGATACGTTATTATAATCAGCATGGCTGAGACGGTCCAGGTTGTTCCAATAACGAATAAGTACGTTTTCGTAGCTGTCGTGCGGTGTCGTAAAGGAAAGGTAACGGCGTAAAGCCTTTCTAAAGCGATTACGACTAAGAATGACAACGAAGCCATTCCAAAAATGGCGTCAGCTACATTTGTTTTTTGAGTCACCTTGCAGGCGTCGTTTTTGTAGCGAAGAGCGAAACATACAATATCCTCCATTACTCCGACACCAATGAACAAATCAGCAACGGAAAGGTTTATCAAAAAGAACCGGGTCCTATTCAAAGTGGATCTTTTCTCCCAAAATATGGCGATAGTGACAGCATTTCCCACAATGATTGCTACACTTTCTGCCGCGAACGCTGTCGTCCATAGTGCTAACTTAGAGTGCGTGAAGTTTGCTGCCATCTCTTCACTAGCTAAAGCTAGGGATATCGATGTTGGCAACGTTACTCTTTCAATGCAGTTTCAAAGTGTGCTAGTCTTAAATGCGGTGAATCCGCTTTGTTTTGTTTTCGCACCTGCTTTCTACAATATGATGTCAATCTAGCAGCAATTCACAGACCTTGGCCGGCAAATGCGACTCGATGATTATTATGGATAATAAAGCAGCTTTTCAGGCAGGTAAACAAGTTATTGCTTTGCTGATGCCAACGCTGTATTTTAATTAAAACTCATTTCAAAAAAACAGGTAATCTTGTTTTGGCATGACAGCTTGCAAAAACAGCTGAAAGGTTACATCGGAAATTCTGTACTAAACTTCTGCTAATTACATATGCTAAACCGCGTACGCGAAAATGAGTTCCTTACCGTATTAATTCTGAAAATTAAACGAAACATTTTATGATAAGTTAATTTCAAGAAGAAGTTTTTTTTATTTTGCTCTTTACATCTCAGAACTCTAGCTTCCTGAAGTTTTCATAAATGTAAATACAAATGGCAACCAATGTTTAATAAATGACGAAGGACTAACGCTCGAAAGGTCAGCTTTTTTACCCTTTACGGTGGCCAATTTACGTTTTCATCTCAGTTGTCAACACTAAATTACCTGTTATACTCTCCCACCGACGCAGCACCACAGCTTCTTTAGAAACTTACCCCTTTATTCACTGTTAAATAAAATCGTTTTAAAGGAACTATCAATGGGTTGAGCATGAGTTTCGACTTTCCCTTTGTTATTATTTTTAGAGTAGCCCTTTATGTCTTCTCTCGAAGACATAATGCCTTCATTGTGAAAAATGACATAAGCTGAAAGAAGGCCAGTTAGAACGTTTACATTACCGGGGGAAATCAGCTTGTTTGACAAGGATCTCTTTTCCTTGATAAAGAGGATTTAAGACGCAGTCTCTCTAAAATAAAGCGGTACGGTGAATTTCGCTTCGAACAATCGATTTCTTTCAAATTTTGCCCGTGAATCTGTCTTAGTCTAAAAGTATTCAAAACCACTTCGGTTTTTCATATGTTTCAAAATAATTACTTCAGCCCTAAAAGGTCCATATTCAACAGCGCCGATCATTAAAGTCTAAAAGTATTCAAAACCACTTCGGTTTTTCATATATTTCAAAATAATTACTTCAGCCCTCAAAGGTCCATATTTAATAGCGCCGATCATTAAAAATGGTGCAAATTGTCTCGCTCGTCTAACAACCTTCTTAATCCCGAGACGTGGTGCTGATATTCTTTAATTTCATAGCTTCAAGTTACAAGCAAGTAGAATCTATGGAGTTCAAGAATGAAGACAAAAGCAACTGCAACAGCGGGGTAGTTCGGCGAACGAAAGCTGAACGAAAGTATTGGGCAGTTAAAATGAATATGATTGCAGATCGTTAACATTGACACCTTGGCAAACATTTGCCTCCCAGCTCGCTTCAAGAAAATATTTGAATGCGGAGATGTATTGAAAAAAAGTCCCTGAGACTGGTCCCATAGGAAAAGGAGGGCAGGGGGGAGGAACCTCAGGTCTGAATATTTAAAAAAAGTTTAACCGTTGTTTAACACAACCGCGTCCCAAACAATCTACAATTTAGCTGAATCTTTTATCTGAACATTCATATTTGCGCACAGCGCCAAGAAGACCGAAAGCTGACAGCAGAAGAACATCTATTTAATTAAATCAACTCTCTTATAGAGAAAGTCTGAGGCCCGCTAATTGCGTAAAACCGTCGTCTGGGTAGACCTCTCGCAAATAACCGCCCTAGTGCTCCTCAGCTTCGCCAGGGGAAAACGAAACTCACTGTGCACTAGGCCGGGAGGCAGCTATTAAGCGCTTGATTGTGACTAATTAGGAGGAAACCTAACTATTGTCCAGTGAAAAGTTGCTGTCCACAGGTTGCCATCGGCGAGTTAAAAATCAAGCTTTTCCTACGGTCAGGATTTAACCTTCATAATTAGCGTTTTTAACGAAATTAAAACTTTTCAAGGCCAGGAAAGATGTTACGTGCAAAATCAGTGTTCAACCAAAGCCAACATAGCTAAAGAGACTGGTAGCATGAAACGAACTGGACAGAATCTTAAATCACGGCCCTGTCAGAGGGTGCTGACAGGCGTAGCAAACAAAAAAAATCGTTAACCAACGTGAGTTTTCGCATTCTAGGCGTCATTTCGGAAGAAGCATTTTTTTCATGCAATTGTTCTATGCATACATAGTCACAATAACTTAAGTACAACGCAACGCCCTTATGTATAGTGTCTAGGTGTCTGCGTTTAGAGGGAAATTAATTTTTTTCCTCCTTTTTGCTTTTTTTTCGTAAAGACGCACATCTTTTTCTCCGGTCAGTACAATAAAGGTGGACATTCTGTCTTTTCCCCTTTACTCGGCTAGACCCAGACACTGGAGTCAACTATTTGATAAGGTCCACCGTTATCATTTCTGTAATCATGATTACTATTGTTCTTATTGATACCAATTTTTAGGCGAACTGCTTAACTCTCAAGATTAACATTTTATACAATTGTCGTCATGTGACACGTGTGAGGTTCCTAATTAATTTTAGAAAAAACGAACATTTTTCAAGAACTCAAAATATTTTATATTGTCGCCTTGCTCAATTGTCTCTATAAACAGGTGTCCATTGGTTGATCGGTACCGACCAACGGAGAGGGCCAGGAGAGCTCTAGCATCCGTTTGCCACCTCGTTTTACTCAAGAAGGCCTCCACATGACTCGTGAGCCAAGAAACGCACTTGCAGCGGCGCTTATATTGGGACCCGCTCCAAGCTCCAAACTTGATAGCTCTAACCCTAGTTCAAACGACTTCCAGGCTACCATGATTTTCTCTTACTACTGAGGTTGGCAATTCAGTTCGTGTTCCTTTCTTTCTTGACTCTAACGAAAGCCTCTGCAGAAAACAAACAGAATGTTTCATCTCTCGCAGCCTCGCTTTCAAACTCATCCTAAACATGGGCAGCCTGAAGCAATAAATTATTGGGTTGAGAAATGATTGTAGCACTAACAACGCGTTAAAAAGGTGGAAAAGAAGCGGATATGTAATCTTGTAACAGCTGTCACAGATCTTTGAAGCTGAAAAATAAGTTATAGGAAGTGCCCACATGAGCACAAAAACCCCTGTAATAAGCAGCAACGTGTGCACCAATGATTTATCCTTTCGGGTCGCTGCACCGTGCACGCTCTGTCGTCTGCGTTTAACTTTTATCCAAATGCACACGTAACAAACAATTGTTATGCTAATTACACCAAAAATTGTCATTGGCAGGAAAAAGACAAATCTAACAGATTCGCCAAATGCATCCGTATTGTACAATTCCAATGCAGTCACGATGCCGGACAGTATCCAAATTCCCACGAGAGCAATTTTGTGGACACGACCACTCATAACTTTGTGACGTAAGGGCCAGACGACTGCATGCATTCGTTCCACTGCAATCACACCCAGAGTAAAAAGGCATGCTGCTTTCGGAAACGTGTACGACGCATTTAACACATAAATGGAAGTAATTGTTGGTTTGAATATCAGGTAAATAAGAGACGATATTCCGAGGGCTCCAAAAATGAGATCAGCGACTGCGAGATTGACAACCATCATGTGCTTTCGTGTCTTGAGGGACGGAGTCTTGATGAAAGTATACAGTGACAAGGAGTTGACAAAGACGATGATGAAACTTTCAACAGCATAAACTCCGGTCCAAGCCCGTAAAGTTCCAGTTGATAACGTTTGAACAATCTCTTTTGCTTGGCGAATATCCATTGATGATTGTTCAGATTTCTATGAATGAATCATGGTAGGAAAGAAATAAATAAAAGGACTAAGTGCAAATGAACAAAAACCTTAGCATACAATATGCAAATTCCAGACTGAGAGAAAAAAAACTGGAACATTTCCCGGTGCAAATCGTAATCGAATCGGCCAGTTGCTCATATGCTTATAGACGAATAAACATTGTTCTGACTCGTGTATCGAGTGGTAAATAACTGTGTTAAATAGATATGATGCAGGAAGTAAGTTTTGAGGGGTTGTTTAAGTTGAAAATATAGTAGGACAGAGCTACTACAGACCACGCTGATTGACACCCTAAACATTTTAAAAGTCCAAAAAAAACTCTAAACTCTGGTCTAAAAACTCTGTCCTACTATATTTTCAACTTGAAATGGCCAAAATCTAAGATTTATTGAGCTACTTATATAAAACGGTCAGAGTTTGCTCAATGAATAATTTGCATAATCGGCTGTCACGCTAGCAAAATCGCTAAAAGTTTGAAGTCACCACGGCGAAGAAAATTAATAAGTGCAAGAAGTTTTTATAATTTTCTGCTGCCAAACATCTTATTAGAAGAAATCAAGCGGAGTTTTCAATGGTCTGGTCTGGACTTGAGCAATATCAACCAAGAAAGAAAGAGTACTTTTGACCAATTTCAGAAAGCTGTCTAACGTGTGTCATTAAATAAATCATGACGAACCTCTGAATAAACGAATATCAAAATTGAAATGCTTTTTATACACCTTACATATCACACAGTCTAAGAATACAAAAGATCTTTTGCTGCATGCGGTGTGATACGAGAACCGGACTTTTTAACTTTTGAAATTTTCGATGTCGCAAGCGGTCAAAAAAGTGACTTTTGCAGCTTTGACTATTGAGAACTCTAAAAAATTTTATTTTAGCGTATTTCTAGAAACTAATATGGTTTTATTTACTTGCTACCTAAGATAGATCATTGGGCAAAGTTTTAGGGAAACTTTATTCCGATGCGAAATACCCTGGACCGCTTTTATAGAGATCGCCTCTTAATTCGCAATAAGGTAATTTTCTAAAGAAACTGTGGTGCTGCTTCGGTGGGAGAGTATAGCAAGGTAATTTGGTATTATCAACTGCGTTGATAACGTAAATTGGCCACCGTAAAGAGTTTGAAAGCTGACGTTTGGAGCGTTAGCCCTTAGTCAGAGCGACAGGCGAAGAGCTAACGTTCGAAAAGGTTGGCCAAAACGAAACGAAATCAATTATTCTGTTAATTTTGAAAAGGTTAGTTTAGGTGGGTTACAATGCGAAACAAAAGAATCATTTTGGTCGGGATTATCGCTATAAGTTGTTTCGTTTTTGTGAAAGAAATGTTGTGTTTTGAAATCATTATGATATACTTCTTTTCTTATGAAGTAGTTTGACACTTTTTCTTATGAAGTAAGTTGACACTTTTACATTGAACGCGAGATAGAAGCAATTTTGATGTCGCTCAGAGTCAATAAAGTGGTCTTTTCATCTATCATGCTTGGATCATGGGATATTTAAAAAGAATTCGACCTAACAGTCGCACTTTAGCGATCACAGCGGTAAAATTTAAACCACATAAACATTCCCAACCAGAAAAGAAAAGATTTTTAAAACTCAAAGTTTTGAAAGCAATTTGTTCACGTCTAACACTCTTTCTGTATCCTACAATAAAACAAATACGCAAGTGTCGTTAGCAACTGTCAAAATAGCGTTCATATTCATATTTCAAATGACCCTTGAAGTCTCTTTTACAACAGACTTATACGTCTCGCTATAGTCCTTCACTGTACATGGTTTCGTCAGAAAGGCGAACAGGCCAAAAATGACCGGCAAAATCAGAATGATTATTTTAATTAACCGAACAACGTCTCTTGGAGGATATATTTATTTGACATTCGCGATGACCAGGAAAACCTCAAATTAAAAAACCTTGTGTCAATAAATCATTTAAGCAGGCTGCGTTCATAAAATTTCAGAATGATATTGGAAACGATATGTGTTCCGCTCCTCCCCGATTCAGCTGATTCAAATGAGACTTCGTCCAGTATGGTCTTAAAAAAAAAAAACAAAAAGGACAGCTTTGATGACATGTTTTTTTTACGCAAACCTTCTCTCTCAAATTAAAACAGCACACCTTAAAACAAATTCTGAATACGAAATTTTATGGTGTTTATTTGAGCTTCGTTGAAACTTCAGACTAGAGTAATTCGAGTGAACTTTAATAAATGGCTTGGATTGCTGAAATAAAACGTATAACAAACACTAATCTACTCATGAGAAACAGTATTAGCGGGATTAAGTCTGTTGCAGTCGAGGTAAAAAGAGCTAAGTATCACAAGAACTTTAAGGTTATTCACTGAGTTATGAAGGAGAGCAGTTTACCTCTAAAACTCGTTATAATCATACTGCGGCCATGATAATTAAAAGAGAATGTCTTTGGCATGTCGTATGAAAAACTTTCATCAGAACTTCTTTTCAGAACATCTGTGAAATTTAAATATTTAAAAAAAATTGAGCTCAGATGTCACTCAGAGAAAGTCTTTAAAAATCCTGTTTTAACATCATAGTATCAAATCTTTAACCGTTTCGTAGAAAACTTTCAAAAGGATAAACTTAGTGTCTCTCTCGCCAGTCAAAGTCAAACCGTTGTTAATTAGCAGCGTCGATCGCTCAAGTAACTTTTCTCGCTTATGCGGTAATTGAATACATCTAAGAGCCGCACAGTAGTTTATATCTTGCGTTTTACTGAAATGCAAGCAGTTATATTTATCGAAAACGAATGTTGTTTTCTGAGACTAGAGAGGTTCTTCTCGTTAACTGCATTCAGCTTACGTGCGCTGACGCGACACTTTTGAATAAACCGCAAACGACATATTTTTCAGCTGCTATTTTCAGTTGGGTCGATTTGCACGAGTGAAATCAAAGATCTTTTTCACCGTTGCTATTAACCTCAAGCATAAACCTATCATTCAAAGTTGTAACTCTTCAGAGCGCAGTCAGTAAATTACTGCACCACGATTAGACAATAATTCAACGGGAGGCTGTCGTTGACCGCATTATGCGGTACTTATGATCGTAGAAATTGCCAGAAATTGAAATTGAAATTACCTCTGCTCAAAGGATAAGACATACTCACGAGCCAATGATAGTTCCTCCAGTCTTCACTCCGTGGACAGTCGAGTCAAACCAAATCCAAAATACAACTGGAACTAGTGTGTCACCGGTAACTAACATGACTGCTATTTTGTCAAAATGATGTTTACAGATATCAACAATTGTGGCGTTAATGACGAATTAACGAATAATTTTCCTCTACTAAAAGGAAACACAAAACAATTCGCTAATGACCCATAAACCAAAATTCTAAATATCAACTTCCGCTACAATGTTCGATTTCAGACATAAATGCTCTTTTAAAAAAAATTTCGGGGAGAAAAAGAAAAACGTTTTCTCGCAGGAGCGTGAGAAAACTGTTATGAATTTCCAACAAAAATAATGAACTAAAAGTCCCCTCCCAGTTGGTTTGGGACAAACAAAACTTTTGCGTCAACGTCTTTGTGATTTAAATACGTTGAAAACAATCAGGTTGGCCCACAACAGCAATTAAGAACTATGCTCATTTAATCTCTAATTTTAGATCACTTGGTGAAGACTTCAACCCCGTTATTATAACGAGAAATGTTTGAGTGCTCAGCAATCAAAGTTCTAGGAAACGGTATAAGTGATTTAACGGCATTTTAATTTTTGTAAACAGCAGTTTCTATAACCGAGTGTCGATCGCATACTGCGACATTTTCTCAAAAAAAACGATAATTTGCAAACCATAAGACTACAATAAAGATTGCAAATTGTGCAGCAGAAAAGAGCAGTCACTTTCCGACATGTAAAATGGTTCAGTTCTGACTATTTTTAATCCGACATGGATTCATTCGGATATTTGAAAAAAAAGATTCATTTTCAACAAACACATCTTCATGGATCCAAAGAGATCTTAGATTAGGGTAGCAAATATTGTGCATCGCGCCGTTGTACAATTTACCCTTACGGACACTCCGTGCCAAGAACTGCATAATTTCTTCATGTCATATATTGAGTGCTCCATGAGTTCGTGTTCATACTAGTTTGTGTCAAGCCGCGTTTATATTCCAACCACCATGTTTTTTGTATCGTGCGTTTGTAAGAGATTCGTGGATTAAAACCAACTTTTTTTTATTGGTAAACGTCTTTTTTCAGAAACGCGAGAGACGCGTGACTAACACACACAAAAAAAATAGTACGTGAGGCATTAAATCAGAACGTGACGCTCGTAAATTTAGGAGCGCGTGGGAAGTGTGATTTTTTTCGTAACAGACTCTCGGTCCAAAAACATTAACATAGCGGACGACAAAACGGAAAAAGGATCTGAGCACTAGCTTTGAGTTAGCACGCGCTTTTCAAATCCGTTTTAGCAATACCCATGATAATGTCTTGTGTTATGAAGAATCACAAGAAAAATTGGGAAACAAGAAAAAAATGTAATTAAGCTAGAAACAAATACACGAAATGTTGATGTTACATTTCCCAGTAAGCGCTATTTTGGATGCAATGACGAAATACGGATGCCATTGTTCTAATCAAACAAGAGCTTCTTGGTTTCCGGTAGTCCCAAAGCCGGATCATGCAGATAAATGAGAAAAACGGTATTACATCATATGATACAAAATAGCGGTGCGAAAAAGACTCCAGTTTCAAAACAGCTGACATCTTTTTCCATTTCCTCCTTTACAAGAAAGACCTCATGCCCATCTTGCCAAGAAGTTGTAACTTTAAGCATTATTTCTGAAAATTTCGGACGCAAAAGGACTCACAATTAATGTCTGCACCGACTTGATAGATACAGGTTTTACTTTTCGTATCTATATCTATTTACGCCTTCAGAGGGTGATTATCTAGTTCAGTTTCGCACTTGAACCCGCTGTCAGTAATAACGGCCTCCTCTCTCAGCCACTATAACTAGCAAAAGCTTTAAGAGCAAACAAACAAAAAAAAAAAACAAGAAAAGTTACTACATGTAAACGTGTTTTTCATTGTTTTTCCAAAGCACCTCGGCTTAATGGGGGGATTGCAATATTACAAATTTCGATCTCTCTTAGGCTCAGTGAATGTTAGTTGTGCCGCCTCCCCCTCAGTTCTTACTGGCTGTTTCGGCGTTTCTTTAATTACCGAGGTCCTCCACAATTCAGGTTTAGCAGTCACCTTACTTGATCTTCTTGGCGCAATGCCTCGGCCTGAACTTTTCAACTCTTGTAATCTCATTTTTAAACTTATTTTGAACGTTGGCAGTCGAAAGCAATAAATAATTGGGTTGATCAAAGATTGTAATGCAAAAAGCAGCTGCATGCATTTAAAAGCCACAACAGAAAATTGATAACATTTTTTGCACATTCTGGAGACTGACAGAAAACTGATAGGAATTCCCCAAGTGACCATAAACACTCCGGTTACTAGTAACAGAGTAAAAACCAAGTTTCTATCCTGTTTGGTGGTTGTCCTCTTCCTTCTGCGTCTAGCTTTAAACCAAATACACACATAGCAACCAATAGTTACTATACCTGCTACCAGTAATGCGATTAATAACACAGGGATAAAAGTTTTGGGCTTTTTGCTAAATGTACCCCGACTATACATCTCAAATGTGGCCACTCCAGCAGAAACAATCCAAACAGCCATGACGGCACATTTGTAAACATTAATGCTGATAACTTTGTGATGTATTGGCCAAACAACGGAATACATTCGATCCATGGCAATCGCAGTAACGCTGAAAAGACAAACCAATTTTGAAAAAGAGGTAAGAACTGTTGAGACGTTAAAGGAGATTAATGTTGGCTTGAATACGTAGTAAATAAATGTAGGTAATCCCAAGGCTCCATAACTGAGATCAGCGACAACAAGATTGATGACCATGATGTGTTTTCGACACTTGAGCGATGGAGTCTTTATGAAAGTGAACAGCGCCAAAGTGTTGACGACGATGATGAAGAAACTTAATATTCCATAAATTGAACACCAAACCTTCCACGATGATGATTCCAAATCAAGATTCTCCTCTGCTTCGTGTGAATCCATTTATGCTAATTCAAATTTTACTGTAAAGATGATAAAATCATACTGTTAGTATCAGAAAAGAGATATGCTAAACTGAATTGAATGTGACTTATATTTGCATATGACGAAATATATGACAAAAAATTTCGTCAAGCAAATCACCAGATTTCTCGAAAAGAACTTGTCACAAGTTTTGAATTGTTTCCTCCAAAATGAAACGAAAGCCTTAACAGCTTCCTGAATTCTGAGAAGTGGAACGTTAAAACTTGGATGCTAAAGAGAGAGGCTCCCTTCAACTCGATTATACAAGGCAGAACTGTACAAATGAAGAAAAGTCATCACTAGTATTGTCGAAAAACCTCAAGACTCAGTAATCATCAAGGAACAAACGATACAATCCAGTGGGTGACGATATTTAATTTGATATATGATAAAACTAATGAGACCTTTGCTTCAGAAGAAAAGAAAATTTCCTGCAAGGATCAATAATCAACTTTCATATAAACCAACGTATTGAATAAACTTGTTTTTGGCTTCGAGAATAATACAGAATAACCATTGTTATGAGTATGGGCTCAAAACCAACAAATGAGACGAAGATCGCGGTCGACTGAATTGCGCTATGCGATCACTGCGATTAAAGGACTGCAAAGGTGCGCGAGCTCTACTTCAAATGAAGCGAAGACATACTCACCACGACCCAAGTTCTAATGATTTCTTCCTTTTTTTTCATTCCATCTCCGGCTGCGTCAAACTGAAAGCCGAGTTCTGCTGTAATTGCCTCTAAAATGTTGTTTACGAGTGACAATATGACTGTAATGTCAGATGAATATTAATTGACCTTTGCAGTAAGACTGAAACTGTTGAAAAAAATTATCCTGATTGAACTGAAAGCTAAGGCACAAGTAAATATCTTTCGCCCAGCAGCTAAATTCCGCTTAAAAACTTTTGCTTGTATTTTTTCGAACAAAAGCTATTGATTGAATTTTGCAAAAAATTTACATGAGTTTCCAAACAACATTAATGACTAAGCGTCCCAGAAGGCTACAAGCAAACAAAGGATTCTTTTCAACGTCTCAGTGTAATTATGAAACGATCAGAGCGGTTCATAAAAGTTATAAAGAGCGTTCCAAACCACGATTTTACGCAAGCAGTGGGCCTCGGGTTTTCTTCATAAGATGGTCGATATAATAAAGTAATTTCGTTCCCAGTCTGTTAGTATTCGTCCCTCTTGATACTGTTCACAAACTTAAATGTTCAAATTAAAGGTCCTGCTAAAATAAGGATGGTTTAGGACGCGGTTTTGTTAAACAACTCCTAAACTTTGGTTAAATAAACTTCCCTTTATGTCGAAGATTCTACGTAATCACGTAGCCGTTTTGTAAGTTTACACTGTCGGTTTCAGTATCGTGTGTAGACCTGAATCAAATCATGACTTGAAGACAACAAAAATTGCGAGGTGCATTAGCAAACAGTAGACATTCTTTGGTTCACAATTAGAGCATTTTACTTTTGAAACTTCCATAGCCGGTTGCAAAGTATTATGTGAAATAAAAAAAGAACTCAGCTTGTTTTGAATTGAAAACGAAGCTCCCTCCCATGTCAATAGCAATAATAGATAACAGCCAAATGAGATAAAAGTCCATGATAATATTTCTTCGAAATGCTTCCGATTGCCACCTGAATCAACACTTCTACCGATAGATAAATTAAAATGAGTTGTTGACATTATCTTTTTAACAAAGGTCTTCAGATTAAGAACATACGAAATTTCTAAATACGGTTTAGATATCGTCTACCTTGAAAAAAAAGCTCATATACAATGAATTGAGAATTTTTTCCAGTTCCCGAGGCTCAAGTAGGGACAATATATATTGCGCGTGTTGCATAGCAACCTAATATTGGCCGAATGTTAGCCTACAAGAGCTCACCATAAAAAAATGATTCCCTGTTCATCGGAGTGCGGACCTGAAATAGAGATTCCATTTCTCAGGGGAGAGAGGAGGACCCGTTAATTTTTTTGTGTGTGTCCACTTTAGTGAAATGATCAGTAACATCTTTCTTCGCTCCACTGGGATAACATCTTGCCCCGGTACCTAATCTTGATGCGATGAACTTCTGCTGACAGGCAGTTACGATCTAACACTTTTAAAAGACGGTCTAAGACATCTTTGTAAAAAAAAATGTTTACTTCAACATTATTTATTTGAAACCCTTCTTAATAACTATTAAGGTTAAATTGCTCAAGTTGTTTTTGTGCAGTCATTACCAAATTTGTTGTAAATGTTTTTTAATTTGACATACCTTGCAAAAATTGAGCGAAATTCCATTTTGCTTACAAAACAACTGAGTTTCGACAAGTTTAACTTTTCTCGAAAGGCTCTTGGTACCATGGTGAAATCAAGAGTCGAAACCGATTTCCCTCTAAAGTAGCATAATAATCCATCTTATATAGATGCATGATGCTAGAAACCAGTTCAATTGGATGTATTTTGTACATTTAGAGGGCTGAAGATAGCTTGAAAAATGGTTGATTCTTTGTTGTGTTAATAATTAATCAGGATTAAACAAATACGGCGAAGTTTTCACATTGGCCGATACAAAGAGCCGTCCACTTGCTTTCTGTTAAATTTTAACAGTTTAATAAGAACAGTTGCGATGCTATGATCAAATCACTAGTGATCTCTTCTTTTGATGGATTTCAACCAGAGGGTCCCCTTATAAATGGAAAATGAGGGTTATCACAAAAATGTCTATGTAAGACTTCTAGCCTCTATTTCCACAGCGATAGAGCCTTCCAAAGTCACTTTCATATCAATTACACTCAACCTTTGGCTGTTTTTGTAGTTCCTGAACCTTTTGGTCAGCGGGACGAATTGAGGAGTTTTTGGGTGCCGTATTGCAACACGGATGGAAACACTTCACAAACACTCTTTTGATAACCGCTTTCAAACTGACTTTAAACAGAGGCAGTCGATAGCAATAAATGGCAGGGTTAACCAGACACTGAATTCCAAATACCAATACAAACCAGTCTAAGATTTGTATATTAGGCTGGATGCAGTCTATGCAATTCGGAATGACTGATAGATATAGTAAGGGAGGACACCACGTGACTAGGAAGGCACCACTGACCAGTAGTAGCGTGAGAGCCAACGAACGTTCCCGAATGGTTGAAGGATTGATCGCATGAAATCTTCGACGCTTGTAGGAGACCCAAATGAAGATGTAACACGAACCAATGACTAACACCACAGTAATAGTCAAAACGGGAGTAAATACAGAGGCCAGTGAAAGAAAGGTTATAATGTCAACGTTACGAAAAAGCACAACCAACCCGCTCACTGTTAATGCAGATGCACAAATCCAAATTGATGCGATGGTGATGTTAAAGACCAGCCTTGAGAGAGTTTTGTGCCGCAGAGGACATACAATGGCATGCATCCTTTCCGCTGCGATGACACCGAGAGTAAAAAGTGAAGCTACTTTGCAGAACCTGCTTGCCATCACCCATACGTAAAACAAAGTCAACTGTGGTCGAATTAGATAAACTAGGTAAACTGGTATTCCAGTGACTCCGAACAAAGCGTCAGCCGCAGCGAGGTTCATGATCATTACATGCTTACGAGATCTGAGCGCTGCAGCTGAGAGAAACGTGTACAGTGTCAAGAGGTTTATGACAGTTGCTAAGGCACCCACAACAGCTAACGTCACAATCCAGGCAATTGTTTCAGCGTCTGTTTGATGATAATCCGCTGCATGAAACATTGTATCTAAAACCAGAGAACAGGTATACTATTATTTATCATCCCGGGCAAGATTAAATATTTTAATCGAGGCGGGAAGTCACCGAGACAGCGCTTCTGTGTCATTAGAACACTCGTAATTTTAGTTACATGAGCCTGCAACTCAAAACCACCGGAGTTTGGTGTTCCCTTTTTATTATTTAATTGCATTCAGCATGTTGTCTCCGTAAAGGAAGCCTCCAGCTATGTTTTTAACTCGCGTTATTCAACAATTTTACCTGGCGGTGACTTCGTTTAAAAGTTACGGGATGTCAAGTACGGTTGACAACAAATCATAAAGTTACAAAACACAAAACGTTAATACAAAACTAGAGAAAAGTAGCAGTGGATTTAACGAGTTTATTTTTCGTCTTTACTGATGTAATTTTTAACCTTACTGAAACCTAACTCTATGAAATGAAAACGAATGATTTGAATTATGATTTTGAATACAAATAAGAATAGGTTACACAACATTTTTGCACTGACACACTCCACAAGAGCAATTTACATTATTAAACAAAACATCTTCTAAAAGGAAAAACAGTTTTTTAGGGGGCTTTGAACCCTTTCTGCAATTTTTTGAGGGGATTTTTGTAATTTTCTTTTAATCTCGATATGCTGATTACAACCAAATAATTGACAACAGGGATGTCAAACCCACAAAAGTTATTGGGCAAAAATTAATTTAGGATTTCTTTTGCTGGATGTGCCGAGGGATGAAATTTATTTAAGTATTCTAAATTACATAAAAATCGAAGACTTCGTGTTCTAATTGGTTTAGAAATCCTTTCTATAATTTGTTACATATAATCAGCTGTTTGTGTTAGGTAATCATGAGCACAGCAGGTTCACTAAAATAAATGACCAAACTGCCACCATGCTCTTTGATTATGTTTTCGATCGAAGAGTAAATAATTGAAAAGAAAAAAATTATTTAAATTCTAAAAACTGGGAAAGATTTCTCCTCCCTTTTTCTTTGGTGAAACAAATTTATGCCTATTAGAGTATGTTCACATAAATGCCAATGATTTTACAGCCAAGGGTGAAAGTTGTTGGGATCCTTCCAGCTCAAGATTCTGTATTTTTAAAAGACAGTTTAGTTCACAATTATTATACGTATGTAATTTGATTTTACGTAGTGAAAATCTCCTACTTTCTCCCGGGTTATTGTGAAATTGCCCCGAATATCATCCTAAACAAACTCTTAACAAAAGTGAACCACACTGTTCGTTT